TTTTTTGTTAAGTTCCATTATTTGAATATTATAGGTGTGTTAACTCAGCAAAATATTCTAAAAGAGTCCAGTAGTTCCTAATAGTATTGGGTCTTCCGCTTCACTGGCAATGTCAGAAATTGTTGACCTGAGACCCCTACAGCTCAACATAACAGCAGGGCTTTACTTTTTATACTTTTCTAATGGATGGTTAAGACCAAGGTAAAGCAGGACCTATGCAACAAGAGTTGTAGCTTTTGGGTCTAATAAGGTCAGTGAAATCCCCTTAGGATTTATCTTGAGATCCTGTACCTCAGATTGTAGAACCTTTGTCAGTGTCAGCCATGTGGATGAGTCACGGCCATTGCTTGGCCAATGTGCTCTTTGTGAAAGCCTGAGAGAATGTTTTCTCTCCAAGTGACTCTCCTTCGCAAATTTTTTTATGTATATGCTCTAGTGATTTTTTTTCTTTATAGTTAGTTTTGGAGAACTTCATTTTTGTGTATCTTGGTATAATTTTATTCAAATTTTTGTGAAAAAAGTTCATTTTTCTTGGAAATGTGGTGCTATAATTCAACTAAGTTCAGAAATTTTAAATCTTTAAATATTTATTGATGGGGCCAGGGAGATGGCTCAGTAGAACAAGTGCTTCCCTGGCAAGTGCAAGGGTCTGAGTTCAATCCCCGGTTCTGCCAAATAAATAAATAAATATTTATTTATTGCCTGCCCCTTTCTACTTTGAGAATTCTATGAATATAAATTTCTTGAAAAAAATTGATATGGATAAAATAATTTTTAGGACTGGGGAGATGGAGATAACTCAGTAGTCTAAGCGCCTGCCTGGCAAGTGCAAGAACCTGGTTCGATACCCTGTACTGCATGCCATGCCAGCCACCAAAACCAGCTGTGGTAGTGCACACCTGTAATCCTAATGCTGGGGAGGCTGAGACAGGAGGATCACTATGAGTCTGAACTGTGTAGTGAGACCCTATATCAAGTAAATAAATAAATGATCAAAAAAATAATACTTTTTAGTTTTTCATATTAGTAACTCTGAACCGGAGGCCTTCTTATTCCAGGCCCCCGGGTAGCTATTTAGAAAATATCCTCAAACACATTAAGGAGTATAGGAGTCCCAGCTCACTCTGTACCCTTTGTAAAAGTATTAACTTCACAAAACTTTCCATTTGACAATATCTGTTTCATTTTCCATATTTGATTTTTCGGTCTCATGGAACACTTATCTAATCCTGTGATATTTAAAAACTAATAAATTTTTTTTTCTCTCACCTTTTCAGACCATTTCTTTAAAAAAAATAAATAACACTTTTAAGGTTAGACCTTATGGTCTGGGGAGGTAGCTCAGCAATCTAAGTGCCTGCCTGGCACGCACAAGGACCCAGTTTGATCCCCAGTGCAGCATACGTGTCGGCCACTGATACTGTTGCTTAGCGAGACCCTGTACCAGATAAATAAATGATTTTTTTAATTAAAAAAGATTAGGCCTTATGGGGCCAAGGATTTAGTTCAGTGATGCAGCATCTGCATGATTGTGTGAGGTCCTGAGTTTGATTCCTGCCCACCACCCCCCAAAAAAGAGTAAGCCCTTATATATGAGGGGGTTAACATATTTTTTCCTCTCTGGAACTTTCAGTAAGCTGTTGGTTTTGGGTGACGTTCTTTTGATATTATGGTTTTCAAACAATTACATTTATAATATTGAGCATCCTAACTGAATTTCCTTCTACTTGGTGAATGAAAGGTGCAGCAGTATGCAAGCCTTCCCCTGGCTAGCATTTTTGCATTGTTTTTATAGGAAGATACCTTTAGCAAATAACAGATTTTAGTTAATTTAGTTTTCATTGGAGGACTTCTTAAAGTTCAGTGTATATTTTTATTATTAAAAGATACTTGACAAATAATACAAAATGTTGATACTATACTAATTAAAATAGGTGCAGAGTTCTGGAATCTTGTTTTATCTGAAAAGATTAGTAATGCTCTGGGAATAGCCAAGGAGATAGTCAAGTCATCATGGCAAACGTTGTGCCACTCATGTAGAATTGTAACCCCCAAGCAGCACTTATGTAGTATGATACACTCGTAAAGGCACAAAACGTAAAGAAGCCTTTAAACTAATGTCTAGCATTTCTCAAGAACTGTTTCTTAAAACTCAAAAATGCTTATGAGAATTAAATGATCGGTGACAAAAAGGGTTTGTTTATGTAAAGATAAATTCTGTATACTTTGTTAACGTGTATACCCTGCGAAGTCCCAAGGCAGTGTTCGGTATGCCATGTTTGCTTGATTTATTAACCAGTAAACCATAATGGGCCCAGAACTCTCTAAATCTGATTGAATATGTTATTTACTGCAGTAGTATTTTATGAACTTACTTTCATGACAAATTTCTTACTTTTGTAATTTTGTCATGGAAGTAACTCCGATTGTTTTATATTCTAAAATGCTCTGGGTGCTTAGTAATACTTCAGAAATTTGAGAGACATTGATTGATAGATGACTAGTTTTCATAACCATGTCTAGGAGACCATAGTATCTGATCTAAAATTTTTCAGCTTTGAAAATACTGTTGGAGCCATGGATTCTCCCAAGACCCAATCACATATTCTGTGTTTAGTTTATTCCACAGAAATTTTTTCATTGCTTGTTCTCCCCAGGCTTTGTGTTGGGATTTGTCTGTATAATGGGCTTTATTTTTATTTTGTTCATGTTAAGCTTACTAAATAATTGTTTAAAGGTACAGCAGTATGTATGGTGGCAGCCTGAGAGAATTCAATGCAGCTTATATCATCAGAGACCCCTTAGATGGGAAAAGTTTCAAAGCCACTTATTAAAGCCACCATCTTGAGTTTTTGGGTTTTTTTGTTTTTGTTTTTGTTTTTTTAAGCTAAGCTATCTAAGATATTATGAGGTTAAAATGCTGGTAGTTTCACACCCACATGCTACACAACTGGGAATAGATCTCAGATATCCTTTTTTTTTTTTTTTTTTTTTTTTTTTTTTTTTTTTTGAGGAACCAGGGATTGAACTCAGGCAAGTGCTTAGTCTACTGAGCTATCTCCCTGGTCTCTGATCTCAGATATGCTGATTCTTACCCTACTGATCTTCCCCTCTTGCCTGACTGTTTTTATCCATATGTAATAAGTGAAGTAGAAGTAGGGAATACAATAGTAAAGTAGTCTTCTGAATATTTAGATTTTCTTTTAAAACTTCTTATGTATTATTTCCACCTATTATTAATTTCTTAGCAGTAATGATAGGTTTGCATTTCTGTCTATAATCTACAACAAAACGAGAGTGTAGAAAGTTTGAATGCTGGAAATCTGGTTGGAGAACATTCTCAAATCTGTATCACGTTAAGTTTCACAGTAATTTCTAGATTTTGAAATCGGTTTCAAAGGGAAAGAGGTGTTCTTCCACATTATACTGAACAAGCTGTTTCTACCTACAAAGTACATGGAAAGTATTTCTATACTTAATATTACTAAAAATTGAAAAGCATTCATCATTTTATAGTTGAGGCCTTGCTCCCACCTAAGCCCTCAGCAGTTGAAACTTTATTAATGTGTAATAAATATGATACTTTTTTTTTTTTTTTTTTTTTTTTACCTGTGTAGTGCCCTACTGTCTGATTTAACCTTAGAATTTTAGTGCATCCATTTGTAATCCTTTCATTAGGGTTGGAGGAAGAACCTCCAACCCTAATAAGATGAATGTGTGTGCCCCATTCATCTTATTACTGCCTACTTGGAAACAAGCTCCCCAGCTGGTTTATCCACCCCATTTCATGAGTAAGGAACTGAAATTGCAATATTGTACTCTAAATTAGTCACAGGCCCAAGACATTTTAAGCCAGCTCTAATTCTCTTTTCAGCTAATCTGTTTCTAGGATTTCTTAGGAAAAATGTCAGATAATACTAAAATTTTAGTACAGACAAATATGAAAGCATGATTAGCAGAGAAAAATATCGTACTTTCTTATATTCTTCCTGTGACATCTCAGAAAAATAGTCTGTGGAAATTGAACATTGATAAGAATAGAGATTAAATAAACTTTATGATTAAAGCACTTGGAAACAGTATTGATGCAGGTTTTCTGCAGCTGACTGGAGTCCTAGATGGACTTCACTGTCTGCATGGCAAATTCAGTGTGTACTGCTGTTCTAATTTGAAGACTCTGATATTTCTTTCTTCCAAATTTTTTGAAGGAGGTGGCACCACACACTTTCAAACATTATTTCTGCTTTTACAGTATCATAAATTTTTAACTATTTCACCTATTGTCAGGGTGCAATCCTTTCGTTTCAAATTTTTCTTCGCTTTTTTTGTTTTCTAGATTCACGGCCTTTCCACAACACCAGTGCTAATCTGACTGAAAGGTAATATCCATTTATTTAGTTGTTCATTTTCCCAAAATGATATGAAAGAAAATCCAAAGTATATTAATGGCATTTAATTAAGTAAGCTGAATTATATGAGCTCATTAGTTTCTTTCTTACTTGAGTAATTTGGAATAATTATTAAAGGCTTTGTGTTGACTGTATTTTTTAATGTTAGCATGTTTCCACTTTGTTTAAACTGTTCCTCATGGTAAAGATTGTGTTTATTCATACAAAAGTATACTTGTGTTTGACTTTATACATTTATGTGTGCTTTATTTGTATAGATTTTCCATTCTTAAATACAACAGCATCATGTTTCATAATTTGTGTATGAATATGCATGTATTAGTGTCTTACTTTAATCTTTTAGGCTGTGTTCTTGGGGCTAGAAGTGTGGCTCAGTACTACAGTGCTTGCTTAGCATGTGCAAGGCCCTGGATTCAATTCCTGGCACCACCACCACCACAACAAAAATGTAAAATAAAATGGCTATATCTTTTGTATGTGGTGCACAAGTCTGTCCACATAATTAAATAATTTTGGTTATGTAGTAATTCAGAAGCCTCTCAATGAGTGTTTCTGTTTGCACTGCCTTCGTGTCTGTTTCTTCTTCCTGTCGAGAGCAGTGGTTTTCATGTTACTTCCCTTTTGTCTTAAAGGAGTGCTTTGTTTTGTAAACACATACATAGACTAGCTTTTGAAGGGGACCCTTTTGGTTTTGCTGCTGCTCACCCTCACCGGAGCCTGTATTATGTACAGGCAAAGCTTTAAATAAGTAATCTAAGCAAATACATAAACACAGTAGTATGAATGGATTCTTTCTCAATTATATTTTTAAATGTCTCATTCTATGAGAAAATCAACCATTGAGAGATCCCTAAAGGTCACAGTGTACCTATCTCAGATGGACTTAGATTTGACATAGGCTTCCTGAATAAGTGGATCAGTAAGTCTGGGTGTCTGGAAAATCTCTAAATGAAAACTCTCTCCTGACTTCCTGAAATCTGCCTACTACGCAGTATATTTCCTCTTTTTTTTTTAAATATTTATTTATTTTTATTTATTACATTTATTTATTGTGTGTGTGTGTGTGTGG